TAATCTTTCATTTCCAGTTCTAGAAATGTGCAAAAAATGGGCGTAGACAGTTGTCATTGGAAAGCCGTCTAACTTCTGTATGCAACAGTAGAACCTGGAAATTTTCACCTCGTCACAAAACTGATGGAAAAGACGATCGTGAGGAGTATGTTTTAACTTTCCTAGCAAACAACATCTCTTCCACTAATTGATTACCATTGAAGAACGGGACACTTGCCACGAGAAGAGCGTCGTTCTCAGTTAAAGTAGATTCAATCAAATGTAGTGGAAATTTCCGGACTGTAATATAGTAACTAAGGTACTTTCTATGCCCTGAGCTATCTCATCTATTCGCCTTGATATAGTCAAATTGCTGAGCGAAATGGATTGAACTGATTTCTGTGGATTCCTGTTAATCACGCCAGACAGCTTTATTGATAATAGAGGCAAGATAATATTTTATCCACATTATATGGACTGCAATGTTTGGCAATCAAGTTGCTGATTTTACTAACCGCCGCAACTGCATTCGCCCACCTTTACCCTGTCAGAAGCCAGCGTCTTTAAAGTTGGTCTGTTTTCGAAACTATCCCACAGCTTACTAGAAAATCCACAGACTTTCCGCTTTCGTCTTTATGAACACGACCTAAATGATTTTGCATTTTATTCGGTTACATACTTGCATTTACGGGTTTTGGTAAACTAAGCATAAGAATAGTGTGGGGTTTTGAGGCGATGCGAGAAATTCAAATGACAGGCATTCCACGGAGTATTATCGATACTCTTCTTTGCCGAGTAGCTCATTTCAGAAATATGTCATTGTAACATTTTAATAAGAAATGTACATATGTATATTATTTTTATATTATTTTTACTACGCAGCTCTCTCGTGAGTTTTAACTACATGATTCGACAGGACGACATACGCTGATTGTATGAGTTATTAGCCGTGAGACTACAAGACAGTTGACAAACATAATTGTAGCATCTGTTAGGGGATACAAGGGTAAAAGGTAAAAGTGTATAACTAATGCTAGAGACAAGCGAAAGGCACTTTCTGAGTATGAGTTTGAAAACACAGTGAACAGCTAAAATGTCTGAGGGAAACTCCGTGACGAAAGCCAATGAAAATAACAAATAGAAGTTAAAAATCGCAATGCTCACTAGATGCACATTCATTACATGGATGTTGAAACCTAAAGGGACAAGTGGTAAAACGAAGGGCAGAAGAGACAAACACGGAGTAAAATGCCGGATAGTTCAAATAACCTGCACGAGAGAGCGCAACGTAAATGATGACGTACACCGGCTATTGTTAATCACGGCGCCCAATGCGTGCTGCAAGGCATTTTTGTATATATGAGTATTAGTAGAAGTATTCTTATGCATACATTATGTTATATATACTCTCCAAAGTAACCGGATGTCCATAAGTATGATAAAATTTATCAAAATGTTCATTAATTCGAAACTTCAGCCGAACTGAATGTTAAGGGAGCGGCATAAGGTGTTACAGTTTTCGACTCTTAGTTGGCACGAACGAACCTTCTTCACCTATAGTACCCCAAGCGCTTAGGGTAGCTACTCGAATTTCGAATGTTACGGGCCAATGTGACCTAGCCGCCAGACATACATGCGAGCTGAGACTGGAGATCAAATACGCTTAAACTAACGCTACCGCATTGGGCCCCGAACAAGAAAGAGTGACCGGCATATGAGTTGTCACACAATGGTAGTTTCCTAAGCAAATTTCAGTTAGTACAGGTGTGGCTTTTTGCGGTAACTGCAGCAGTGTTCTGACGAGAGTTCGATAGGTTCAATGCAGCTTGCACAATAGATGCATCTGTGTCCTGAGTAAAGCTTAGTTGGTTCACTGTGGATGGACATCAAAGTCCTGAGGACGAATCCGTCGTTAGTAGAACAGTCTAAGTCCCAGTATGATGCTTGTATCCTTGAGGTGAGACCGACGAAATCTGCGCCAGTTTGGCGGAGCAATACTCGGTCTGGCTTTAACTCCTTCGTAAAAAGCCACCTGCTTGGGCGTACCTCATTTCACTGACTGATAGTTATCGGGGAGAATTAGTGCAGGGAGAGAAAATTTAAAAAAAATTTAAAAATGTATTTTGTTATTTGTGCTATCACAACCCACTTGTACACCATGGCCCCATATGGCCCCCGTGGCACCCCTACCAAGTTTTCTCAGTCCAGGCCCCCCCAGGATTTCGCCGTGGCCCTCACGGGGGCCACATAGCCCCTTTGAGAATGGCTAGTCTGACCCACAAAGGGAGAAGGGGTGAGGCCAGGCTTGATAGTTTGTTTATCCAGGCCCTTGAGGATCTTTCTGAGACGGATTTCATACAGACGGATGTGTTACATTCGCATCAGTGAATGGTAAGCTGATTTAGGCCTCACCCATTACCATGCTTTTGTGGGAAAACAGCCATCGGCCTCCTCTATACCGTTGGTCTGGAGGGTGATTGCTTGGTCCATGCGGCCCTGACGGTGTTTGAAAAGTACGTCCCAGTGTCGCTCACTGGAGAAAATAAACACGAAATCCAGCACAGCCATTTAAGATACAATGTGTAAGCGAATAGTCTCTAGACCAGATGAGTGAGACGGACACGGGGCCCAAGGAAAATCAAGTTGGATATTCTGACACAGAACTGACGACAATCTACGGGTGTTCGATGCGAAACTTGCTATTATCCTGGGAACTGGCGAGTTAAGCAAGGATTTATTCCAAGTGGAGCACGAGTGCCTCAGACAAAAAAATCAGCGCGCGTGAAACAAGTTTATAACCTTTTAACTGAGAGGGAACAGAGAACTCCACTGAGTAATAACAACGGTATGGCACTGCAAATTTATGCATATCGTGATTAGCCATTCTGTTTATTCATAACGGATTATTGTTGGCTAACAGCATGGTTTGATTGTGGAGGGCGCTCAGCGAGGAAACCATCTAATACCACAATTATGTTTCCAGGTGCTTGTCAGTTTCTTTATACTAGCCGGTTTCCAACGAAGTAAAAATGGTAAATCGCAGATTGGCACAAACTGCTCTCCAATGAAGACGGGTGCAAGGGCCGCGTTTACAGGATGGATTCGGAATCTAAAGTGTTACAACGGAAATCTCCATCATCGGCGCAACCGAACAAGCATTTGGGTTTTGTGTACGTTGCGCTGACCTATTCGACGGCTACGGTGTAAGCGTCACATTTCAGATTGACAGATTAACTGCAGACTCAATCTGACTCAATTTGACAGACAAATTGCATTTCCATTCACGTGACACTTTACTTCATCTCGGATTGCAACGATTTCGAAGTAGCCCCGGTTAAGTGACTGTTTACGCTCCAGTGTAGTGCTCTCGATTTCACGTGTACCCTCAGAGATGCGGACAAACCACCAATCCTTATTTAACGACAGCTACAACACTAAGAATCCAGAAATCATTGACGTGTGACAATCAAAGCAACTGACAGGCCGCATTCTTGACACATTGATGAATTAGTCGAGATACGCTAGTGCTCAGAACCGGTGACCAAGGAGAACACAAATAGTAACACTTGTGGAACACACCGGCGTGTGGCTCCTGATACACTTGTGAATCCGTGCCCACTTCGGGCAGAAGATGATCGAACCGGCTCAAGCTTAAACTAAGGCATGGAGAGCCTGCGAAGCTCTACCTCGTACTCGGGAGACTGAAAATACCGTACCCAGTGAATATATGTCACCAATATTTTAGTAGGCACCCTATTTTTGTATTACTTCACTCGGCAACCGTATTTATTTCGCTATTCATATATCTGTCTATCTATGGTTGGTGTCCGCCTTCCTGTTTTCGTTTAACGCTGTACATTAGTTCCGCGGTTCGAATCCGGCAGGATTTATTGGGTAGGCATTAAAGACCAGTCACAATAGGACGAAACGGCCATCTAGTGCTTCCCTGGCTGGCTTGCCGAACAACCTCCTCGTGGTGCCAGCTGGGTGGTTCGCGATTTTCCCATTCCAGCAAATGGTTCGGCGGCAGTGTTCCAGGACGTGGTGGGTTTTCGCCTGGCAAGCGTTCTCCCTATAAAAGGCCACATACGTCCGTCTAACAACACTGTGACGTGGCGGACGTGACTCGCCACTAAATAAAGTCACTGCCTCTTGCTTCATTCTGGCGAAGCATTGTATTCCAGCGAATTTATGCTGTAATTCTGGGGAGCATTGGGCCCCTGTTTGGCAAAGGATCAAAGGAAAGGCGTGTGAATTGAATAATCAGTCACCGGCTCCCGGTGGGCGTGATTCCCTGAATTCGCTCCGCTGTCTTGCGGGCAGGCTATTCAGCCAAAGGCTCGGGGTGGTGTTCCCTAAGTCAACACCCTACTTCGGCTTGGGCAACAAGGTAGTATCTCGCCCTCTAACGAAGCCATGGACTTTAATGTGTTGCGTTGTGTTTTCTTTTACTTTTTCTGAACCTGTTTTTGAGTCCTATGGTTTCTGATGGCTTTATATCTATTCGTAGATTATTGTATATATATATATATATATATATATATATATATATATATATATATATATATTAGATGTGTTGTGGCTGTTTAGCCGAGGTTAGCTGAGACGAATATTCACAATAGCAATCCAGACCGAATCTAGCAACCGTCAGTTAGTCGACCAGTATTATTCTTGACCGGCTGGACTTTTGAGTCCTTAGCGTATACACGATATCTTTGTAAGCCCGATGATCAGCTGAAGTACATTCTAAGCATCTATTTGCACATTGTACCTAAAAGCTATTCAAGATTTTACATGTTAATGGAGACCGAAAAGCGCACAGTATTAATTAAACACACATACCTAAAGCGTAACCTTTATTCGGAGGTTATGTTGACCAAATTTCCACTACACCAACCCGTGCTGTCAAAAGTGCTATAAATCTTCAAGAATCTTACGTGACATAAATGACAACAATCATTACGTTATGTGCCTAGTTTAGCTTTCATCAACCAAATGTGTCCATTGGAATTTCGTTTTCATTAACACAAAGATATGGGTAACTCGAAAGATGCACAAATCGATGATGCCTTTGCGACATTAAAAATCAAATCGAATCCACTTACCTCATAGTGATACTTTCCAGTTCGTGAGACACCCAGTTCGCTTTCAGAAACCCCGATGTCAGCCGCTTCCACTGTATGACACAATGCCGACATGGTTAGAAATCTTGACAGTTCCGGGCTGGTATCTGGTTTTAATCGGTTGTATTTATTCTTTAACCGACCTGCCGATTCGATAGTGGAGTATTCGCTATCACTCTCTGAGGATGACGATGAAACTAGTACATTGGTTCCACCATTCAATATTTTGGAAGCGGGCATAGGAGAATCGGTAGTTTGCTGCGCAGGTCTTTGCTGAAAATCATAAATCTTGTCTGTATCGATCACAGCGCAAACAGATAGCCACATCACATTTTGAGTCAAGGTTCCGGTTTTATCACAGAACAAAAATTCTACCTGTCCCAGCTCGTCCGCTAGTTGGGAACTGTTCGCCTTGGCCACCAGATCTTCTTGTTCGTCATACATACGTAAATCGTTCGATATGAAAAAGGCAATTAAGAGTTGCTGAAATTCCATAGTTATAATAATAGAGATCGGAATAAGATAGTTCACTATGGTAACGTACCGAAACACGTTCTGTACGAATTCCCATCGTGTTTGACGAGCTACTGGAATGTACCATCGCGTATCTTTGGTCTGTGTCGTCATGACGGTAAACACAATCGTGAGCACAATTGAGATGATGATCATAGCGAAGATAAAGCACAGAAGGATTATGTTTGATCGGGCCTCACGTGAACTGTATTTTCTCTTCGACTGCTTTCCATTTAGCGACAATTTTGTCTCCCTACCTGTATACACAGCCAAGCCAATCACAAATTCGGTGTTATGGAGTTTGGATCCACGGAGAACGAGATTTTTCATTGATAAAGGTATGTGCGACCTTCCATGCGTAGTTAGGCGACCTTCAAACTTGCCAAATTCTTCAGATGGATCGGAGCAATCAACGCGTACGTATAGATGATTTAATGTCCCATAATAATCTCTAGGTTTAACGGGATTCATTGAGAGTTTTTCTGGCGCATAAGAGGCATACATTGATTGAGTTGGTGTGAGGGCGTACAGTTTCTTCACATTGGTTTCTCCATCCAAATTCGCAGTAGTCACATTGAGTGCAGTGGAATTATGACTAGAGCAAAGGGCGACCATGTCACACGGAAGAGTGCGATCTTCCTCGCAAAGCACGATATCACCAACTCTGATATCTTGAGCTTCCGTAGCACTCCAACGGATCGTTTTCGCATAACTATCTACTCGTAAAGTACGGAATAGAGCACAGTTAATGCGTCGATCCCTACGATGACGAAACAAATCATCGACGCCATCCTTAATCATTGAGATCGCAATGATGGCTATTAGAGGTCCTAAATTGGCCCAAATACTTGTGGCAGCCGAAGCAAACATGTACAGAACTGCGATAGTTGCGAAAAATATGTTAGCCAAATTGTGAAATTGCTCGAAAAGGTTCTTTGGCAAGAAACTCAACCACGTATATCGGGATGAGATAATTTCATTGGAACAAAACTTTAGCATGGGAACGTCATCTGCAAGTTGGGGGCTGGGTTGACGGAGTGCGTAGACCGTTCGATTTCCCGATGCTTCCTTACGTTTGCAGCAGTTTAGACACCCCATAGTCCAGGCACAAAAAGAATGAGTCGAAGAAGCACAGATCTGGCCTCAATCAGCCAGATTATCGGCATAACTTCAGTGAGGTCGGACTTCCAGCATGCGACGAATTTATATGACATGCGGTTCAGTGGCTGACACTGAGGGCAGCCTGTGCGTGTGATTACACGTACTGGGTGTTGAACCTGATTCGCTCTTGACCACCTACAGTTCTACCAATCAGCAGACGCGAGGAGCCAGTATGCGATCAACCGTTAGATCGGTCAAGTGAGACAATGTTTGGAGGCCCGAAAGTGAACAGGAGAGAACAAAATAATTTTCATACATTCGTTCCTATAAGCTTCAATAGTTGAAATACTACTGTTTTATGAGTCGAGCGCCCCATTCGCTGGGCTATACTATTCACTGCACTTGAGACGATGGTATTTTGTAAAATTAGTGATTAGAACACTCTCCATTAACACTGTCCAGCCGACTTACTGGTAGAATGGAACAGTGAGGGGCAGAGAGCACTAAGATTACCTTTACGTAGCGTTTATCTAACTGAGAATGCCCTTACAGTTCATTCGTGAACGTTATGACGCATACACCTTAGCTCAAAGGCATACAGTGCCCTCTGTCACCTGCTGATCGCTTACCGTACAACAGCTGATAGCTATCACACGAATTTAAAGGACAACAGATTGTTGTAGGTGAGCAGAAATGTCAAACTTGCTTGCTGCTGGTTGGCTGAATTGAAGCAATTAGTGTTTGAATTCTCCGATGGTATGATACCGTTTCAGGTTCACGCGTGAATTCATTCGAGGGCAAGATTGTGTACGTAACGTTGCTGGTATTTGCTGCGTGAATGGATGTCGCGAAAAATGGACCTAGAACCATACTCAATTTACACTTGTTGGAGATACTGAAACTAGACATGCTCCATTCAATGCTAGGGACACAAAGTTCAGACGTAGTTTTCAGTTGGTCAGGTGGTTCCGTTGTCCATCAGCTGTGGGAGCTGCAACACCAGGTGGTACTGTGTAGAAGATGTGGATAGGTGTATCAAGTGGCTTGGTATTAAAATACTGGTAGAAAAGCAAATACTATTTACTCACCTTGCCTATCTAGAACCTGTTATGAAGTTGCAAAACTTGATGGAGATCCATCGGTTATCTACTGGTGGAATAACCTAATACTTCACATTGCCGGCGCACAAAACAAGTCGCAACTGAGTATGGACAATGACGTATGGAAGCAAGTGATGAACGAATTATTTAGCACAAGGAAACAGGTAAGTGGTAAGCGGATCCCGGAGGATCACTGAGCAGAGAACAGTAAGAGAAAAATAGGTTTCATCAAACAAAGTGTGTATTTTTGGGCTCAAAATAATTTTCACGCATAACCTAAATTAAACATGTCTAACAGGTTTCTGAATAAATGTATAGTAGAGTCACAGTCTTTGTTATGTTAGCTATTTTGGACATACTGGATATTAAGTATAAGGATGATCGTCATCACTGATAAGACTCACTGGATAAAAAATGCAATAACAACAACAACGGCAACAACGACAACAAGGACAACAACAACAAAGTACTTAATAATAAGATTACCCATAAAGTACGGGCCCGGGTTATGATACATGCCGTTTTCGTCGAGGACAAAATTTCTTTCATTTGTTTAAATAAATCTGAGTGCTAACAGAAAGAAGGATGATATTATTTCCATTGATAGTTCTCAAATTCAAAGCTCCAAATGGGTATAAAACATTTCGTGACCTGCTGACAAAAAGACCCGTGTGCGGGTGAAATCAAATATACTTTCCTTCGGAGTGAAGGCTGAAAAGCAACTGTGTGGCGATAAGCGAAATATGAAAACTCAAACCTCAAATGCTACGCGGATGTAGCCACTGTGTTGCGGAAGTAAATTTAAGGTCAGCCACTGACCTCTGCAATGGCAGGAACCTGCATGGGAATGGAGGATAGGTTGTGCTATGTCCCCGTTTGCTAGCGAGTTCAGACGGCCCGTCTTCGTCTCCTATTGTTCAGTGAAATAGGCTGCTAGCGGCCATGTTTCCGATCCGCGGTAGGGGGCCGGGGGAAATGCGCAACGCGAACAAACCCCAATAGAGCGAAACGATCATCTGGTGCTTTTCCGGACTGGGGTTAGTCTGAGCTGGATTAGAAGCAGCTAAATGAATAAATAAACGTTTTATTCCTCAGCACTGCGAGGCACAGACCAATTGGGTGGTATTATCAACATGTACAACGTGATCGCACAATATATTTAATCAATCGTCTTTTGATCAGTGGTTCCCATATGGGCTTTTGAAGTGACTAGCAGTTTGGAAAAAGTACAGATAAAGAAACTGGGAAAAAAATAAATGTAGATTTCACGGAAAGTGCAAGCAAAGTAATACGGTCACCCATGGAACTGTCCCCAGATGAACAAGAAAAATAGCAGACTCATAGTCATGGGAACATTTGTAGGTTTTGTAAAGCCGCCTTTGTACTGCTATACTGCTGCTATTCTGCGCCTGCGAGACTACGACCGCCGGGTTGCTCAGCCACGCGCCCAACCTACTGACGGGAGACAGAACGCTAAGGCTCGGTAACCAGGACGTCTGTTCTACACGATAGGTCAGTTCTATTTATTGGTGAACGAAACATACTAATTTTGGAAGCGTTTGGCTCTCAGCCAATGTGAGTTAATTCCGTCCCACGGATTTTCCATAGTTGGCAGAATGGTTCACCTCCGTTGACTCGGGCTTGTATTTGCTGGCCAATCAGTGTGCACCCGATTCCCAAATTTGGCAACACAGTCGAAGATCATTCCACTCTCATGCTGGTGACCTTCGCATGCAGCAGACAGCTCACGTGCTCCTCGGTAAGGCTGTGCGCACCCTCTTACCTGGACATTGGCTCCACTTACCACTCTATTATCTCCCCCTTTGGACTGATTGTTCCTACCTATTTTCCGCACTTGGGCCTGGTCATAGATTTTACCCTGTGATCCACTTGTAGCCCTCGCGGTTGCCTTCTTCTTCGACTGGGCCTGCATGTCACGTCGTGTGGCGTCTGTGCGACCGACATTGTTCCGCTATGGAGATCAATTCTCTATTCTAAACCAAATGTATCCAGCGGTATGTCCCACTGTGGTGCCGCTAGTTCTTGATGTCGTTGACCAATGAACAATGAATTTATACGGGTTAAGAAGCGTTGCTTTACAAGCCCCGTTGGATAGTTGGTGGGGATATCAACATAATAATTATGATGGAAAGGATAGTAAAATAGTTAATACTTTAAATACGAAAATAAGGACTTATCGTTTGCTTCGCTGCGGTCCTGCGATCCACTTAGATTCACAACACCCACAGTTAACAACAAATAATTCCAGGGTAAACTCCAGGTGTAGGATGGAGACGTAGTGTTAAGTAACAAAGTGTAAGTGGATGAGTGCATCATCCAACCGTCTTTTAAATATTGTTAGTGTCGGTGCAGAGACGACCGATTCTGGGAGAGCATTCCACGGGTGACAGACACGGATGGAAAAGAAATTTCTGCGGCACTCCAGACGACTGTATTGTTCTGCGAGTTTTAATGAGTGTCCCCTCAGTTTTGTATTGCTGCTGAGTTGCAGTAAAGGGCGGCACACATTATGTGGGTCTCGCAGAATCAAGTATGTCATAATCAGGTCGCCTCGTAGCCTGCGATATCTTCCACTGAACAATCCTAGTCGTCGCAGCCTCTCCTGGTAGGACAGATTGCGCATTCCAATTAGGTTCCTAGACGCGCGATGTTGTGGCTGCTCCAGTGCATTAAGGTCGTGTTTCAGCCATGGATGCCAGGCTTGAGTTGCATATTCGACATGGGGGCGAACATACGCACTGAGCATCTGTCGAAATATGGAGCTGTTTATTTGTCCAAACGCCCGGTCGCAACAGCCCAACGTGTTGATTCCCGGTCTTCGAGGCCTTTTCGGATTGCCTGGAGCAACCCAAGTCATCTTGAACCAGGACACCCAAGTCACGTTCGAGAGTTGATTTTTGCAGTACATCCGTTCCGAGTCGGTATGAGTAGCTGCCCTGATGTCGGATGGAAAGCACCTTGCATTTACTGACGTTGAAATGCAATAAGTTTTGGATCGACCATTGATACACTGTATCTAAGTCACTTTGGAGCACATGTTGGTCGGCGTTCGCCTGGATCCTGCGCCAGATCTTGATATCGTCGGCAAACATTAGGAAGTTTGAAGCGATTCCCTGTGCAAGGTCATTAATAAACACCAGAAACAAACGTGGACCTAGAACCGAGCCTTGCGGCACACCACACTCGACTTGTATGGGGTCCGATAAAGAGCTCCGAACTCTGACCACTAATTGCCTTTGAAATAGAAAGTTGGCGATCCAGCTTAAAAGAGGGTCTCCGATCCCGTAATGCTGCAGCTTGGATAGTAGTATCCGATGGTCTAGACGATCGAAAGCCTTGGAAAATCCAGGTATATCACATCAACACCTTCTCCAGCGTCGGCTGCCTCGGTCCAACTACTGCGTGCAATGAGTAAATTAGTTGTACATGACCGCTGTCGACGGAAACCGTGCTGTTCAGGAGTGATGAGGTTGCAGTTTTCCAGATAGCACACCAGTGCATCGGCAACTATGGATTCCATGACCTTGGAGAGTATAGGAAGAAGGGTTACTGGGCGGTAGTTGGAGGGATCAGATCTGCTTCCACCTTTGTGAATCGGGCTTATTATTCCAAGCTTCCACATGGCGGGAACTTGGTTCTGGTCTAAGCAGTGCTGGAAAAACTGAGCTAAATGTCCTGCCAGTTGGTTTGCTGCTACTCCCAATGCCTCAGGACGAATGGCGTCGACACCCGGCGAGCTGTGTTTGCGTAGAGAAGTCAGCTTTTGCAATACAGCCTCTGCGGTAAAATTGATGTGGGTTAGTCCTGGTGAGCAGAAGACAAAGCTTGGTAGATCGCTTGGTGGCAAGACCCTTTGAAACGTGGGGGCGTATTGCATCTGCAGCGCGTTTGCAGCTTCCATAGACGTTCTTGTTGGGCCGTCAGCCGTCTTGAGTGGAGGAAATCCTTGCCTCACCTTTCGTAGGCTATTAACGTGCTTGTACAGCAGTTTGTGGTCAGCACTGAAGGTTTTTGCGATGTT